ACGCCAGATATAAAATATAAATTAAAATTACATTAATGTATTAAAGGAAGACGATATTTATCTTTATACTTAAATTATCAAGATATTATCAAGAAATTATCAAGACCTAAAAAATTACTTAGTTGGCCACTTTCCCCATTTTACCCGGAAGATTTTTGGTGCTAAGGAAATTTATGATGGCAGTTAGGAAATTAAGTATGATTTGTGCAGTATAAAATCAACAGATAGGAGATTTTTTTAAGTTTAATTTAAGGGTCTTCAATGTTTTGCGATCCGAGGGCTACAAAATAATTCAAGAAATCACGAGGACCACACTTGTATAAGAGAGAAAGTAAAAAAAATTCAATAGCAGGAATTGAATAGCAGTTCATCTATGGTATTAAATATTTTCTGCCTTGGAATTTTCCTCTCGTAATAGAAATAAACTAACAACTGCTTCAACTATTCATTTATAAATTGTTCACTGTTTGAAGAATAAAGTGTTCGCAAATTTTCTTGATGGATGATACAAAAAGCCATTATTATAAGCTAATTTGTATCACTCTATTTGAAAGGTTTACATATATTTATTGAGTAATTGTTTCTAAGAAAGAAAGAAAAGAAATTTCGTCTTAAAAGAATTATTTTGAAATTTTTTATATGCATTGCTTTTATATTTTATCGGATATTTCTATATAAGTTCAATAAGCTTTATTCCTAATCTTCAGCTTTTTTAATTTCGCATTATTGAAAGCTTTTTTAATCTTTTAACAACAATGCCATCTCATTTGAAAGAGCATTTATAAATTCTCAAGAGGCAGTTACATTGTAATTTTTGTTTGAAAATTATATATTACTTAATCTATTACTGCTAAAAATTAGATGTTGGCTTTCAAATTTATTTAAATTTACATATAAGAACCCGAAAAATGAAATAAAAGAATTTCTCTTTTCAAATCTCTTTCTCTAACATTCCTTTTTATATTAAATAGCTTTTTGAAGCTAATTCACGCATTCTTTTAGAACAATTTTTCTTTGTAAACATTTAACATCTTCTGATAGATTTCGGTCTCGTCTTACAATCCTTGATATTTACCACAGAATAGTATTAGCGTGGGAGGGAAAAGAGAATCGAAAAGAAAGTATAATTCGTTAAACAAAATGAAATTAATGAGACAAGATACAAGAATTCGGAAACAACCATAAAAAGGAAACAAGAGGTAAACGATAAATAAGTTTTTAAATCTAAACTCTTTTGTAGATCCGGAAAAAAACAGTACTTAAGTACGAGTAGTTAAGGTTTCAATTTATTGTTTCTTTTTTTAAGATTTCTGTATTGCCTTCTTCTCTGTGATATATATATA